AGTGAGTGAGTGAGTGAGTGAGTGTGTGAGTGTGTGAGTGTGTGAGTGTGTGAGTGTGTGAGTGTGTGAGTGTGTGAGTGAGAGAGAGAGAGAGAGAGAGAGACTTATGAAAACAATTTGAAATCTTTCAAGTTTTATTAATTAAATTCTATATAGTTTGTATAAATACAAAATTACAACCAATATATCAATTATTTAGTATAGTGCCTTAAATAATCAATTTTTATTTAAGCATAAACTCATTATAAAATAAAACAAATTCATTAATTATTAAATGCCAATGTTTAATAAAATTTCTATTTACAGTAGGTTTCAATTAATTTATTTATACTTCTGGGTATACCTTAAAATAATACATTTAAATGTAATAAATTGTATTAATACCGCTATATTGAATAAAAACTAAAGTTTTCGAGTAATAAATTTGATAACAATTAGGATACTAATAGAAATTATAGGATATATGATACATTCTGTAATTCTGTAAAATTCTGTAATATTGTGTAATATTATGTAACTATACTATAATTAGTGAATAAGTGAGATAACTGATCAGGCTTATGTCATGCACTGTAATCAGTACAACAGTGACCCTCAAAGAGGTTTAAATCAATTGGCAATCACTACACGAATAAGTGATTAAAAACTAGCAATCGATTCGCAAATCCCATAATCCGTGCGACAGTCACTCAATTGAGTGAACATTTCGCACATTTGTTGCCGTAATTTGTGGACAAAAAGCAAAACACGAAAGCATTTCACGAAATGTTTGTCTAAATTGTGATTACATTTGATTTGAATGAATGTCTGATTTAGTGATATATCTCTCCCTTTGTGTCCCTCTTCTCATTGTCTTCCTCTTAGCCGTCCTTCTCCTGAGACGACAGCGACAGCCCAGGGATGACGACGAGGGCGACGACGCTGTGGCTGACAGACGGCGAAGAGTGTTGAGGGCAGCGACTGATGGCCCCAATGAAGGCCCTCCCAGACGAAGACACGTCCGACAGAATCGGATCCCTTTGAACGCCAACCGCAACGAAGACCTGGATCCAGACGTCGAGGACGACGAGGGCATTGACGCCGAACTGCCCGTTGACGGCAAGATTGGGACCAAAAAACGCAAGAAATTGGAGGCCAAGGCAGAGAAGAGGCAACAGAGGGAACGGGAGGTCCAGGAAAGGGAGGAACAGAAGGAGAAGAAGAAGGAGTTGGAGGAGAAGAGGCTGAAGGAGGAGGAGAGGGTCCGACTGGAGGAACAGAAACGGGTCTGAAGTGATGACTCAATTGAGGCAATTGTGTACTAAATATGATTTGTTTGCTATGAATGACAGTCAGAAACGGAGCGTTTGGCTAAAGAGGAGAAAGAGAGACAAGAACTCGAGGAATATCTTAAGCTAAAGGAGTCGTTTGCCGTCGAAGAGGAGGGTTTCGACGACGACGCCGACGAAAGCGAAGCGCAAAACAAATTGCAGACATTTATTGATTACATTAAGACTCAGAAAGTGGTTCTCATGGAAGAACTCGCCGGACATTTCCATATGAAGATACAGGACGTCATACAGCGAGTGCAGGACCTGTTAGCACAGGAGTTGATTGTGGGTGTGATCGACGACAGGGGAAAGTTTATATACATCACGAAAGATGAGTTGCAATCCGTGGCTAAGTTTGTGAGACAAAGGGGTCGCGTGTCGATCACCGAATTGGTTGAGAGCAGCAATACTTTAATCAATTTACAGCCAATTCAAGAGACCAGTATATCCTCTTGACTCCAATCACACCATTATATCGCAAACTATTGTATTTAAAACACTGTTTTATATGAAATATATTTTGTTTTATATAACATTGAGTCC